GAAGCAGACTCCCCACTGAGCAGGGAGCCCGATGTGGGGGCTTGATCCCAGGACCCTAGGATCATGACCTGAGCTGAGCCACCCAGGCATCCCCGGAACTAATGCTCTTCAGAGTAATCACATTGTATCAATATTCCTTAAGTCATAATATAAAATAAAACTGCTCGCCACAATTCCAAAGAGCCTGCCTGCCTCTGTTGGTTCCTTCCCTGGAAAAAGACGCGGCAGGGGAACAGATGAAGTGGTTAGAGGGGTGAGCAGTAATGGAGACCTGAGCCAGGGCTGCTCAGGGGTGCCCTGCAGAACATGGTCTGGCCAAGGCCCATGGGGGCTCACGGGCCGGCCTTGCTCAGCTTCCAAGTCCTGAGCCTTCCTAGGGATCCTTTTATTATTTCCATTTATTTTACTTTACACAAGGGCACTTCGGCCCCCCCGACTGGACGGGAGGGTGTGTTCAAGGGGGTACACACCAAAGCCCCATCAAGGCTACTACCAGACTGTTTGAGTAGAAGATACGTACTTGCCAGAAGGAGCCAATGCAGCCCACGTCTGCAGATAAAAAAAGAAAGACTTTCTTTCTACAAGCATTTGAAATTGCCACTAAAATTCATACAAAAGTCACCCACTCAGGCTTTGCGAGATCAGTGACCCTGGGAGCCAGGGCTGCAGGAATGTGCGGGACGCATACCCATGCTACAACGAGGGCATCTCGCCCTTTACATCAGCTCTCCTCCTGACGGGGCGCGTGATGGACCCACAGCACCCCAATCCCCTTCTATCACGAGCGTGTCACAGGAAGACTCCTCTGAGCTGCTGGTTATTAGAAGGTGATAAAGGGAGAAGAAGAATGTCTCAAATCCTCCATTCTAGACTCCGTCGTCAGCACTGCGGCCTCAGGTCCCTGACACCGAGCTCTACAGAATAGTAACTGAAGAGAAAATAATTCATTTTCCCTGTTCACCTAATTATAAAGATTTAAATCTCTGTAACTCATAGCCAGCCTCTCATTCTACTTGATGTCAAAGCAAACATGAAGGAAAAAGGGGGAAAAGACCTGTGAAACAACAGGATCACTCCCACCCGCGGAAAGAGAAGACACACTTACCGAATAAAACTCAAGTGAACGCCGAGTGACCGGTGTGACCCTGAGCAGTCGATGCAGAGAAACACCCCATAGGTTACACTTGCCCAGCTGGGATTCTTGGCACCACAATCAAAACACACCTGAAAGAAAATGTCAAAATTCAGTTATTAATTAATTCATATTAGCCGAAAGGGGCATTTCACAGGATACAATATAGAGTTTAGCTTGAAAGTGACTTCACCTTTACACTTTTAAACTGCTTACTACAAAATCGCTCACCTAGGGGCGCCTGGGTGGCTCAGGTGGTTAAGCGTCTGCCTTCAGCTCAGGTCGTGATCCCAGAGTCCTGGGATCGAGCCCCACATCAGGCTCCCTGCTCAGCGGGGAGCCTGCTTCTCCCTCTCCCTCTGCCCCTCCCCCCTGCCCATGCTCTCTTTCTCTCTCTCAAATAGAATCTTTAAAAAAAAACTCACCTAGATTTTTTTTAAACCTTAACTTTCTTTTATTATTATATTATGCATAATTATATCATATTCATTAAGCATCAACAGGGCTCTTACCAGGCCCGCGCACACTAGCCAGGATGTCCCCCTGCTGGGAACACTCAAGGCCTTGCGGCCCTCTGGCCGGTGGCAGCCCTCACACATACTCCTTCTGCCCCCAGCCAGACGCGACAGCCAGTGCGGGAGCCACCCTCGCTTGTGCGGGGTGGTCTGTGACCAATAATGAGACAGAAGTGCCAGTAGGTCATTTCCGAGATTAGGTTACAAAAGACGCTGTGGCATCCTTTCTGTCTCTTGCTCTCTCTCTCCCTTGGATCACCGGCTCTGGGGGAAGCTAGCCGCCATGTCTGGAGGACTCACGAGCAGCCCAGCAGAGAGCCTCAAGTGGTGAGGAACTGAGGCCAGGGGTCCAACAGCCAAGTGAGGAGTGGAGGCCGGCTGAGCTCCACATAAGCGAGCTTGGGAGCGGGAGCCCCAGGCTTCAGAGAGGGCAGCCCCAGCTGACAGCGTGACAGCAACCTCGTGAGACCCAGGGCCTTCCTCCTTCAACACTGACTGAAGCCAAACGTTCTTCATCTGATAGCATCTGGCAACAGGAGCATAAAATGACTTTAAGATATACAGTTTGTCATGGAAATCACTATTTATAATTAATAAAGTCAGAAAATTCCACTAATGAGAGAACATTTCATTTTTTTCCAGAAAAACAGCCCCGTATTTTAGATACGCTTTATAGACAGAGCCACCTATGTGAAGGCTGTTCCAACTCTAGTCATCGAGAAAGATCTGGCTTCTGGCCTTTTGAGGGCAACACCAAAGTGAAAACATGAGCAGATGGTCCAAAGCCCCTCACTGTGACAGGCTCACATTAAGCATGCATGAACAGTGGGATTGGAGAGACAACTGACATGGAAGGTGCCAGTCCATTCACTTCCATCCAATTCAATTCAGTTTTTTGATTGCCTGCTGTATACCAGACACTATGGCAGGCACTGAGCTATTCAGAACTATCTGGCCTCACAGATTCCACAAACACTTGCCAAGTCCCTACCCCCTGCCAGGCCATGTGCTGGCTTTTCTGGAGCTCACTGAGCAGTGGGAGAGAAGGACAGAGAAATGAAGATGCCCTATGCACGTAGAGCAAGGAATCCCCTTCCATGGGACACCAGACAGTGTGACCAACCCTGCCCACGTGCTGTCCCTCGGCAAGAGGCCATCTGTAACCCCCCACTCTCTCAACTAATAGTTGTGCACTTACTACCAAGTAAGTATCTGGCATGCACAAAAGTGGTTCGGGAAGGGTCAGCCCGCATAGAGCCCATGTATGGAGCCCACAGTCTAGCAGGCAAGACAATTAGTTGTAAGTTGAAAGTTGGAAGCAAGGACAGGATACAAAAGGTTTTCCAAAAAAAAGGGTCCAAGAGGCAACTAAAATCTCAGGAACTGCATCTTAAAGATTTTATTTATTTATTCATGAGAGACAGAGAGAGAGAGGCAGAGGGAGAATCAGACTCCCTGCTGAGCAGGGAGCCCGATGCGGGACTCGATCCCAGGACCCTGGGACCATGGCCTGAGCTGAAGGCAGACGCTTAACCATCTGAGCCACCCAGGCGCCCAGGAACTGCATCTTCAATGGCAATTAGTGGCAAAAGGCTGTGTAGGAAATGGCCCTGTGGAGAGGGGTGACAACAGAGACGGTGCACAGCCCAGAACAGGCAAGACTTGAGCATCCCTCCTGAGGTGGTCTGGTGGCAAGGCTGAGAAGAGAGCAGAGAGCCTTCTAAACCTGCTGGCCTCAGCACCCTCCTGACCCACAGCTAAGGTGAGGAATTGCCAGAATGCAGCTCCACGAGGCCAGGGGCCCTCTCCTGCGCGCCTGAGCTGAGCACTGAGCCCAGCCCAAGCAGGCACTCACTACACCCAAGTACAGGTAGTGGGACAGTCCGCAGGGGTGGCGGAGATCGGCAACTGTGGGGCCTGAGATCAGGAGGCAATAGGAAATACAAGTCTGGCTCTCACGAACGCTGGAGCAGGAGACTGTGCTTTAAGAGTGGGGACTGCACTTTGTTTTGATATACAACCCCAAACTGAAGCTGAGATATGGTTTTCTAAGCAGAATATCATTTCCTATGGTGATGAAAAATAAATGCCTTTGGGCACCTGCGTGGCTCAGTCAGTTGAGCGCCTGACTGTTGATTTTGGCTCAGGTCATGGTCTCAGGGTCCTGGGATCAAGCCCCACGTCGGGCTCCACGCTGCTTAAGATTCTCTCTCTCCCTCTGCCCCTCCCCTCCCCCAAAAAAAGAAAAGAAAAGGAAATGCCTCTGCTTAACAATTTGCTTTGCCTAATGGTGAGAGTAAGTACTAGAGAAACAACAGCTAATGTTGAGTGTTTGTTCCCTGTCAGGCATTGCTACTGACTAACTGAACCATCATAACATCCCTATAAGGAGGTATTCTTATTGTCCCCATCTAGGCCAGCTGCTGGGCATGTGTGTGAACTGTGCGGCTGCCCGGGGCCCCACACTTAGAAAAGCCCCTGGTTGCTTAATGCTCTGTCTCATCTTGACATTCTCAACACTTTTTAAACAAGGGCCCCCGCATTTTCATCTCACACATTTTGTATTCTCTGCAAATTATGTAGTGCAGTTCTCATCCCCATTTTGTATTTAAACAATTTTTTAAAGATATTATTTATTTGTCAGAGAGAGAGAGCAAGCCAGCACTAGCAGGGGGAGCGGCAGTCTAAGGGAAAAGCAGGCTCCCCACTGAGCAAGGAGCCTGATGCGGGACTCGATCCCAGGACCCTGGGATCACGACCTGAGCAGAAGGCAGACGCTCAACTGACTGAGCCACGGAGGCGTGCCTCTCGTCCCCATTTTAGAGAAAACTAAGGACTTATGAGGTTAAGCATCACCACTGAGCAGTCGTATCTTGGGGACTGGACCCCAGGCAGTATGCCCCAGAGCTCACTCTTCACCTCTCACCACACTGCCTCTCACATGGCTTGGCTGGCCGAGTTGGCCGTTATCTGTCTTCCACCCACTAGACTCGCAGCTCCCCGAGGTCTCCCTCTCCATCGGAGTGCCCCACTGCTCTGAGTGCCCAGCTGACTACAGCTGCTCAACGGATACTTATTGACAGAGTAACTCAAGCAATCAAGCAATAAAACTAAGGAACATATAGAGACGAGGAAGGATTTCTGAAACTAGAACACTGACCCTTCTGGGTTAAAACCTTGATCCACAGTAAATATCCATCACCCATGAGATGAAGAAACCAGATAACAGTCTAAAAGTAAACCCAGTTGTTCCTCTTGAAGTACCTTCCCTGTGTATCTTACAGCTCTTTTTTATAGCCCCTTCTGAAAAATGCTTCCTGTTCCCCAAGAGTTTCCCAAACTCTTCCATATTATTAAAACTAGATTCATCTTTACTTAGGTAATGGTTTCTTACTAACAATCAAATGAAAATTCTTAATCAAGAAATGTAGCACAAGACTGTGGAACATTACCGGGAAAGTATTTTTGCCACATGCTTTTACAGAGTTTAAAATTTTCCACAGGGGTGTTGTTCGTAGTAAAGATCGTAACAAAAAAGTGGCTGACGTCATTGACGACTAGCACGTGCAGGTACTGCTCTAAGTGCTTCTCTTGGATTTTTCATTTAATCCTCCCAATAACACTCTGAGTTAGAGCCTGCTCAAGCCTCCGTTTGCAGAGGAGGAAAGAAGGTACAAAGTGGTCAAGTAAACTGCCCAAGGTAACAGAGTCACCAGCAAGCCCACACAAGTCCCTCAAAAGTGTCATAAAGACAATGACTTCTTATTTAAAAGAGGGCAACTTTCCTTTGATGAATTCAAAGAGAATACACATTGGTTTTGAGATAAAGCAGACAAAAAAATATAACTTCTACACCGCTAACTGCAGACCCTAATCTTGTCTAGCTCTACAGCAACCACTCCCTACAAGCAGGTTAATCTTAACTTGAAAATCAAGAAAACAGCAAAGAAATTAGCATTAAAGAATTCCTGAAGCCTTTCTCCTCCTGACTTTCCTACACTCATCAGACATCACCTCCAATAAACTCTTTCCTTTCTCACTCCTCGTATAGTCTGTAAAAATATGGGCTCCCTTCCACCAAGACTTAAAGACATCTAGTTTTATAAAACTCAGGATCCTTCTATGCCATGACATCATGACTCATGACCATGATCATTAACAGCTGTTCACTTTGGAGGTGACGGCGGGGACCAGACAAACTCCTGTCACAAGAAGGGAAGGGAGAGTCCACGCTGACACACTGACAGCCCTTTGCACTCCCCAGGTTCCAGCCTGACCTGTGATCCTCAGTGGGGTGTCTCTTTAGCCCGATGTGTCATCACAACATCTCCAGCCAGTTGCGAAAGTTGTAAAAGTCACAGAGGAGAACCACCTCTGGAGACAAAAAAAAAAAAAA